CAGAAATAGATAACACAAGGAACTGGCAAAGGAGTAGAACTGAATCAATGGAAGACAGAATTAGTGAGATTGAAGACAAGTACCTCAATACTACTTTGTTAAGGGATCAATCAGAAAAAAAAATCAAAACAAAATGAAGAAAGCCCAATATTTATGTGGGATACCATCAAGGGGAAAAACTTATATGTAACTGGAATTCCAGAATATAAAGAAACAAATAAAACCACAGATAAAATTGTGATTTGGTGGAAGAGAATTTCCCTAATATGATGAAAGATAACAATATATTCACTCATGAAGTTCAACAAACCCCAAACAGGATAGACCCCCCAAAAAACCACTAAGACTTATCATAATCAAACTCACCAAAACCAAAGACAAAGAAAGAATCCTGAAAGCAGCATGGGAAAAATGAAAAGTTACCTACAAAGGCCAACCAATAAGACTAAGCTCTGATTTCTCGGCAGAAACTATGCAGGCGAGAAAGCAATGGGATGATATACATAAATCCCTTAGAGAAAAGAATCTACTAACAAGAATCAGCAAAACTGTCCCTCAAATATGACAGTGAAATTAGGTTATTTTAAGATATACAGAAATTAAGGGCATTGTTAAAACCAGACCAAACTTACAAGAGATGCTAAAGGGAGTGTTTTGGGCAGAGAACTAACAATAGCTAACAACCACCAATGATTAACACACATGATGACATAACCCGGAAACCAATCCAGTTATAGAAATATCCAAAGTAAATTGAGCTTACAAGACTGTAAACAGGGAACCAGAGACATCAATTGGTAAACAAGGGCAGTGCAGTTACATATCAAAAAAGAGGGAAGAAATAGTGTAGTTATAGAATTTCTAAGTGGTGAGGAAGTCCAGGCAATTGCGAGATAAAACAGACTGTTTTAAACTTGGCAAGAAAATAATAAATCACATGGTAACCTCAAAGAAAAAAAACTGTGCATCAAAATGAAAAAGAGGACAAGTACAACTACTTAGCAAGTACTAAAACAATAGCAACAAAGGAAATGATAATGAAATTCATAAACAAAATGAGCTCACTACAGAAAATTATGTGGAACAAAGAAATCCTCAACACCACAAAAAAACACATAACAAAATGATAGTAACAAATTCACACTTGTCAATAATTACACTGAATGTCAATGGATTAAATACACTACTCAAGAGATGGAGAGTTGCAGAATGGATAAGAAAAAGTGACCCATCAATATGCTGTCTACAAGAGCCTCACCTTAGACACAAAGACAAAAATAAACTAAAAATCAAAAGTTTGAAGGTTGAAGACATATCAAGCAAATGGCCATCAAAAGAGAGCAAGAGTGCAATATTAATTTCTTGTAAAATAGACTTGAAGACAAAAACCACCATAAGAGACAAGGAAAGACATAACGATTAAAGATCAATTGAACCAGAAGACATAACCATAATAAATATCTACGTACCCAACGAAAGAGCCCCAAAATACACAAATCAGACTTTAACAGATTGAAAAGACAAATTAATGACACTATAGTAATAGTCGGAGACTTTAATACACCAATTTCAATGAAAGATAGAAAAACTGGAAAGAAACTCAACAAAGATGCAGAAAAACTAAACCATACAATCAACCAACTTAACCATATAGACATCTATAGAGCACTTCACCTAACAACAGCACAATACACATCCAGATTGTATCAACATTCTTTAAGGACATGGAAAACCAATCACTAATTTTATATGGAAAGGAAAGTGATGTCAGATAAATAAAGCATTACTGAAGAAAAAGAACAAAGTAAGGGGTCTCAGACTCCCAGATCTCAAAACCTACTATACAGCCACAATAGTCAAAACAGCCTGGTATCGGTACAATGATAGACACATAAACCAGTGGAACAGAATTGAGAACCCAGAAATACATCCATCAACCTGTGGTCAGCTAATCTTAGACAAAGGGCCAAAATCCATTACACAGGGAAGAGATAGTTCCTTTAACAAATGGTACTGGAAAAACTGGATATCCATTTGCAGAAAAATGAAACAAAATCCACACCTCACACCATACACAAAAACTAACTCCAGATGGATCAAAATGAATCTAAATGTATTTAAATGTTAAACCTAAAACTATAAGGTTCATCAAAGAAAACAGGGGCAATCTTAAGGGCCCTAATTTATGGCACAATTAGGCTATCAAGCATAACCCGAAATGCACAAATATAAACTAAATGAATGGGATCTTCAAAAAATTAAATTTTTATGTGCATCAAAAGACTTCTCCACAAAGGAAAAAGAGAAACCATAGATTGGGAAAAAGTATTCAGCAATGACATATCTGACAAGGATCTTATCTCTAAAAATTTACAGCACCTCAACATCAAAAAGAAAAATAATTCTATTAAAAAAATGAGTAAAAGACATGAACAGATGCTTCATCAAAGAAGATATTTAGGTGGCCAAAAACAGATGAAGAAATATTTGTGATCATTACCCATTACAGAGATGCAAATCAAAACGAGATACTATTTCATCCCAGCACTAATAGGAAAGTTTAGCAAGACAGCAAATAACAAATGCTGGTGATGATGTGGAGAGATTGGGAGTCTCATACACTGCTGGTGGAAGTGTAAAATGATACAACCACTATGGAAATTGGTATAGCGATTCTTTAAAAAGTTGGAAATAGAAATACTATTTGATCCAGCAATCCTATGACTAGGTATATATCCTAACAAAGTAAGAGCCAGGACACGAACAGATACAGGTATGCCCATGTTCATTGCAGCACTATTCACAGTAGCAAAGAGATGGAAACAACCTAAGTGCTCGTCAACAGAGGAACAGATAACTAAACTATGGTACATACACACAACAGAGTATTATGCAACACTAAAGAAAAATGTAGAATCTGCAAAATACCACATAATGTGGATGAACTTGGACGAAATTATGCTGAGTGAAATAAATCAATCACAGAAGGTCAAATATTGTATTAGTCTGCTATTGCAAAAAGGCAAGGAAAGGTTTATACATGGAAGGAAACTTTTTTTGTTGGTTACCAGGGATAGGAGGGGAGGGGAGGGAAAATTGCTAATAAGGTAAGAGACAAGTATTGATTTGGGTGAAGGGAAAGGAAGTATACCAAAGTGAGTGGCCAATATAATAACACTTAGGAAAAGGAAGACACAGAAAGGTTCACAGGAGGTACAGACAACAAAGATGAACACTTTTACACATAAAATACTGCATTAGCAGTTGTAACAAACACTAATCTAAACAGATGGGTAGACAGGCTGAATAATCAGGTATGTCTAGGCAAAAAGGACTGTAACCATGACGACATATAAGGTTGGTAGACAATAATTCTATGTACATATTTGTATGTCCTATAAGAATGCCCATATAAATAGAATGAACAGGGGCCAGAGTTATGACAACTTCTTAGCCACAGCCAACCACCCGGAGGGAGCGAGTTGTTGGGCTAGTGGTCTCTGGACCATGGTTGTGAGGGACATCAAGCTCGACTGGCATACCATACAACATATAAACATTTTTCTACATCCTATTTTGGTGAGTAGCGACTGAAGTCTTAAAAGCTTGCAAGTGGCCATCTAGATGCAACAATTGGTGTTTCCTCATCCAGAGGAAAGAAGAACGAAGAAAATCAAAGATGCAGGGAAACAATTAGTCCAAGGGACTAGTGACCCATGTTAACCTCAGCCATATGACCATGAAACCAGAGGAACTAGATGGTGCCCAGCTACCACTGTTAACCACTCAGAAAGGGATCAGTGCAGGTGATCTTGAGTAGAGTGGGAGAACAGTGAACAAAACTCAAAATCATAAAAAAAAAAAAAAGACCAGGTTTGCTCGTCTGATAGAACCTGGTGAGACCCCTGATACTATGGCCTCTAGTTACCCTTCAGA